TGTGTGTGTATGTGTGTGTATGTGTGTTGTGTATGTGTGTGTATATGTATGTGTGTGATGTGTAAGCGATACTGAGCCATGCTACAGCGACGTCGAAGCATATGGTTCGATATGAGAGTTTCATTCATTTCCAGTTTTGATGTTATATCTAACAAATCAACCATGCAAACGATTTTTTTCTTCTCTTTTTCGCCTTTAGCAATTTAGACGGTTATAAAAATGGGAAGAATAGGATTAAAACTGTTCAGCTAAATTGGAACTTAACTGAAAGTTAAACTAAGGGAGAGGAGAGTGAGATGGTATTGTTAGACATTTATAAAAATAATTAAATTGTATTATTATTATTTTCATTTTTTTTTTTGAAAAAAAGTTAGAAATGCAAAAATTATTCGAATACTAAACAAGAAATGTACAGGCCTAGAGAAGGTTGACGTATGAGACATATGACAAATGGTTGCTGTTTAATTAAAATGTAGCAGAACATTGAAGAGTGGCGAAAATGTAAAAATAATAACTATCCGATGTATTTGACGTTAATATTTGCGAACAATAGACAATCAGTTGTGCAATTTTGGGGGGATTAATCTTTCATTCAATGATGCTAAAATCTTCAAAGCAATTATAATATGAACTGCTCAATAATAAGAATTCTTATTTAGAAGCAATAGTAAATCACTGATAACGGTGTTTGATAAAAGTTGGACAGTCTATTGCTAATGTTCAAAAATTTTTCATTTGAGTTTTCTGAAAACTTTCGAGAAAAAAGTATATTTCAATTGTTACTTTCAAACAGATTGGTTGTCAATGATGAAATGGATAGATTAATCAATGCAATTTCGAATTTGTTCATAATTTTTTTTGAATTTTTAATTACATCTTCAAAATTATCTGCTTGTAAATGCATTATTCATCACCAACTATATTTGCAATTTACTTTGTCTTCATATTTACACATTAAAAAGTAATTTCTCAACGCATACAGTTCCTTGTTTCCTACCAATACTTTGAATTTCTTATTTCCTATCAATACTTTAAATATTGAACTAAGAAAAGATGACGGTATAAATGAAGCAATCTATTCCCAATAAATTTCTATAGAATCTTCGATACATCGAATAATTCAAATTCAGATTTCATAGTATTATCATACTTTGACTAACAAATTGTCGATTTATAAAAGAAGTCTTTTTTCCAATAATTTCGACTCTTTCAATATATTGTTTGAAATTTTGAAAACAATTGAGTGGATTTTAAGAATTAAGTTGTGTAAAAGCTAAAAAAATTAACCCAAGTACTATAATTTTTAAATCAGTCACACTGAAAAATCATTACTTTAATTGAATTTTGTTCAGAGAGAGCATTCTATGGCCCAAATATATTTCTCAAACGATTTGAATCCCAAGATTTCTAACCGAAAAGATTCAATGAAGGCGGATAAGAAATATTAATCCAAATTAAGTCCTTCTTGCAGTCCATTAATAGTCAGCTTAAAGTAACAAAAGTTCAATTAATTGAAATGAAATTTTGATTTATGAATCCATTTGTTGGCGCCACCTTTAGAAAATAATTGTGGGAAAAGGAAAGAAAAGTAAAAAAATAGAAATAACGAATGATAAAAAAGGCGATGTTATACATCCTCAACCCTTTTTATCTGAAATTTGTGAGGTTTCAAATTTCATTTATTAAATATTAATTTCATTGAAAAGAAGAATACATTTGTCATTTAAACAAATTAGCATGCAAACAAGTGGGAATTGAATGATACTCGAAGAGAACTGAAAAATACGCCTATCATAGAATTTACCTCATTCAGAGAAAATTAGAAATTTATCGGGAATTAATTATTCATAATGAGCAAATATAACAAATGAAAATACGTTATAACTTAAGCTCCGATTAAAGAATGATGGTTTGAAACTCAAACAAAAAAGCAATCAGCTTTAAAAAATCACAAAATCTAAACCAGTTTAAAATTTTTCGGAATATATTTACATTCTTATAATATGGTAGAATGTGACCCATAATGTGTGAAGTGTTAATTAAAATGTTATTCTTGAGAAAAGAATTTTTCCTTCTTTTCTACATAAATTGAAGGGATTAAGAGTGAGGTTATTCATTTTAAAAATAAAATGAAATTGATGGTTCAAGTGAATTCAGTAAATAGTGACGGCAATGATGGTGAAAACATCTATTTTAGAAATGAATTGACATATGAAAAAAATGCTCGTATGTTACGACAGTTCAGTGATTTTGATGATCGACGTAGTCAACAACATTGTGGGAAATTACACTGGAGATTGTATAAAAATAGTGCATCATCAATATTATTTGTAAGAATGGATGGAAAAAAAATGTCAATCTTCCTAAATTCCTGAATTTCTTTCGTAGTGAAAAATTCTATGATAAAACCTATTGAAGTGAACATGTTTCCAGGATTATATGAATAGAAATGAACAGTGAGGGAGAACATTAACCGATCCGATAGCGAATATCTCTATTATATCTGTTCTTTATGACACCCAATAATGTATTGGTAACAATAATGGATTCCAACGATTGTATTCAAACCAAGCACATAAATTATTTTTATTTTAACTTGCTAAGATTTTGATGGAAAAAGTAGACTTCCACTGTCTCTCTTCTCTTTTATATCTAGAAATCTCGATAGCACTTTATATCTTATCCATGTTGGGCTACACTCATATGTCTACCACATCCATATTTGTCAGCTAGGCTTTTTCTACTTCCAGTTCTTTCATCATATTATGTATAAACGTGCGCCATTAAAAATATGCGCTAGTGGTGGAAGAAAGAATTCCAAATGCTTCTTTTGCTTTTCTCAACGCGAACACTTAGATGTTTATCCTGAAAAGTCGACCCATTTAAGGAAACATTTGGAATGTGCAGAATTTAGAAAAAATATACAGGTTAAAAAATTCAGGGAGCCTATACTTTAGAATATTAAATGATGAAAAATTGCTGGAATCCCACATAATGAATAAACTCAAAACCGCTATACCACATTTCAGCATTAGTAAACTTCTCCTCATACAATGTTGATACACATTTAAAACCTCTATTCTTGCTTTTGAAATCAAATTTGGATAAAATTTTTACAAATATCTATTCAGAATCTTACTGCTTTCTACCATTTATTGTTATCACATCGAAGCGAAAGTATCGGTATCAGAAATAAATAATCTTGTAGCAAGAAGTCATCACTCGAAGGTTGCTATTGCCTCGTCCCATGGTCCATGTTTTGTACTGAAATACATCTAGAACTGTTGAAATGTTGAAATTTAAAAAAAATTAGTGCAAGAAATGTTGAAATTTTTCAAAAATTAATACTTCGTTTACATATACATTGGAACGAATGAAGGTAATTTGAAATTCTAAATTTTACTGGACTTTTAATATTTTTTATCAAAAGTTTTATCTTTCGTTTGTAGAAAATATTTTTAAGTTTGCAGACTCTCGTACCTTTTCCACGGTTGTATTATCATCAGAATTGATGGACAAATTAGGAGAACAAACATTAGTACAAGTAAGTATAGGATGCTGAGTGAGCAGGAATGCTGATGTAATGCACTGAAAAGGAGAAGAGAAGAAAAAAAGATCAGGATTAATGGTGATTTCGACCATTTTCTATACAATACATTACGCATTTGTGGCCAGTACGAGAAAAGAAGCATAGAAAGAGCCAGAAGACCAAATGCAGATTCGTTCGACGATACTCGAGAAACCAAACAAACTGATGCTGCTAAAGAAAGGTTGACCGATAATATCGTTGAAACCCTGCAAAAATTATGTTTTTTTCCAGTAAATTTTGAGTCTGTTCCGGTCATTTGAATTGCAAAGGCTGGAATTCGGCTTATGTCAAATTTATTCATTAAATTACCTATGGGAAATTCCGGGAAAATTGGCTACATATCTTCAATTCAAATAAAAGTGTAAATGATGACTTCGTTGCCTTCGTTGCCTTACTACTAGAAGGCATCTCGTTCAGCTATATTTATTTTTATTTCCCGAATTATTTGATCATGAAAAAACACAGTATAACTTACAATGGTGCAACCATTGTGTAGTCATGGAAAACAAAACTCGTGAGAAAGAGTATGAAAGACATAGCATATATGGTATCAGTACTAATTGTATCCGTCAGTGTCCTAAAAAAAACTTTGAAAATTAAACTTTCATTTCCACTGTCTTATAATATACAAGTGAAGACTTCTAAATTCGTAGAAAAGTGAAATCACATGTTGATAAAGAATGAAAAGTACCAGAAGCAACTATTACTTAAATGAACTTAAAATGATAGTTAAATTTCAAAAGATATAGTAGAACAAACCTAATAATAGGTGTCAACATATAGCCAAAGCAAAGAAGTGTGATGAAAGTGTAGACATGATCTCGAAGATTTCTCGGTCTGATCATATACAAATAAGCGGTATACAGCGCCAAGGCAATTGCGAATATCAAGGAAAAATGCTGAACGGAACTTATGGAACTATTTTTAATGGAATCGAACATCAAATAATAAAATACAATAGCATTGGTGTGAAGCATGACAAGACTAGCACCACATATTGCTTCCACAAATGAATATTCCACCACTGTTACTAAAATTAGAATTTAACAAAGGAAATTCAAAAATGATGAAGAAATCTGTTTAAATTTGAATAAGCTACACAATTATGAATTTCAAAGAAGAAGTCCACCTGTCAGAATTTAAAGTTTAACACATCGGACTTCCCACTCCAACCCTACCGAAATATCGAACCTTCACATTTTATCACGTTAGATTGTGAGGGAGTTGCGTGAAACTTCAAAAATATCAATAAATTTTAATGGCTAATTCAAGAGCGCATTTCCTGTGAACCGAAGTGACATTACAAATTGTTTAGAGAGGAAGATGAAGTGCTCAGAGCAAACTCACTATTTGTTCTCAGCTCCTTCAGAAACTCACTACCACCACTGTATTCATCTTCAAACGGTTGTCGTTCATACAGTATTTTCCGCCACTTCTTTTCCTTTTCCTGTTGTTCACAGCGATCTTCACTCATCGCCCTTCAGCCGTTTGTTGTTTTGAAGCGCGACAATCTATTTTATTGTCACCGAAATTTTCTCCTTCTTCATCTACCAAGATATTTCGAACATGCAGAAATGATGCACAAGAATATAGATTCACACTTTCTAGAATGTATACGCGTCACGATGTGTTGGAATACACCTGAGTGTGGGACGTGAAACTTTAAGCAATATGAAAATGCAAACGTTGGAACGCCCGAAGAGTAATTTAAGGGACAGCCGGCATTACGAGTGTGTATGGACAAGTCTGAGGGAAAGACTAGTAAGCTTGACGTTGCATGCGTGAACTTGTTTGATATCGTGTGCTGGTGCTTTCTAAATGGTGGATGAGATGTATGATCGCGGAATAAGGTATGGATTTATTACAGATATGTATAGATGGCGACGAGAAATAAAAAACAAGGAGAAGGAAAAGGTTGTGAACGATGGCGACAGCTGGGAGTTAATGCCTACGTGGGTTGGCGAACAGGCCTATTAGCATGCTTGAGAGATAGCTTAGAAGGAAATGAAGTGAATAAACCTCGTACATCTCTATTACTTGCTATCGTTGCACGATTACCGCTTAATCCACACTGTGGTTAGTTCTTTCTCTGATAGAATTGTTTAATTTTATAAGATCGTATCGAAATTTGGAGAAAAACATCACAAAAATAAATTGCTGGAAACAGTTATATGTGAATGGGAGAAGAAAAAACTTAACAGTATTCTAGCATTTGAAATATAGAACACTGCATTTGCAGACCTTAACAATTTCAAAACAATTTCGAAATCTAACTTCATTAATTTTTTTTATTCATTATTCTGAAATCTGCTAATAGTATTTTCTATTATAGCTAATAATGATATTTTGAGATAATGATATTTTCGGTGATATATAAACATTCGCCTCTGGAAAGAGCAAAGTACTAAACTATATTGCAGAAAACAGGTGAAGTGTGATACGAGTCATAAATTACTCTAAAAGAGTTTTTGCAGGGTTAGAAGGACACAGTAAACAAATAGCCGCGAAGCTGGCTGGTTACTTAGGGAATTTTCCATTGTCTTGTCTCTCCGCTGAAATATCTTTTTCTGACGCACAGCTCTTATCAGATTTGCAATGTGAACGTTGTGATGAAGAAGAAAATATTAATGAAAATGAGCAGGGTGGTCGCAAATTCTGTAAAAGAAAGCGACGAAATATTGTAAGCCACATTTTTTTTTACTTTCGTGCTATGAAACAAGAGGAATTTCTATCAGAAAAGCATAGAACCTGAACTTTCCTTTCAAGTTGTGACATCATTTTTTGTCCGTAAAAAATTTTCAAAGTAATCTTTTTTAGTCAAGAAAATTCTACCATAATTTCATAGAGTTAATATTACGCTCCATGAACAGCTTAATGTTTCATTAGGTGCATTTTATAGATGGTTATCTGGGATAACATTTTTCATCTCGATCGGGACGGTTTTGCTGTAGAGCAGGAATCGGCAGTAACCCTTGAAGGTATTTATGCAAATGAAATAACCAAGCGATTATTTACATCGTAAAAATTTCCGCAGATGCACGGACAGAAACTGAATCGAGAATATTATAGAAAACTACATCATAAAAAATTAAAACAAAAAGTTTATGTGATTTCTTTTATAGAATCCCATTGCTTTCAAAGACTTTTTAAGATACTGAAAGGTGAAATACCCACATTATTTAGATCTATCAGCTAGAAGGTTTGTATTGAGATATTGCCACGTCAATAAAAAGTCATATACCAATCCTTCCTGTTATTCTGATCAAAAGAAAGTCAAATTTATCGGCAATTAATTTTATGATTTGGTTTTTCATAGAGCCTCCGACGGTCTCTTATATACTAGAAGATGCGACTCTGGAAATCATGTATTACAAACTTGTCGGTCATTCACCTGATATAAAGTCCGAATTCGAAATTTTTGCACATTCACTATCAATATTTGCTCGATTGGTTGAAGATAGCAGTGTTTACGGATTCGTTGTAAAACAACTTTTGTCTCATGATTTTCCAAGTTAGTTCATTATATTTTCTGATAGTTTTAGGAATAGGTGAATGTGCAGTTATTTTACTTAATGTCATGATGATTTTATTTATTGAGATCATCAGAAGTATCTGTAGATTTATAAACTAAAACTGCACTCCATGTTGGGTTTTCATTTTCGAAATTAGTTTAAAATATTAAAACTCTGATTTGATCATTCTCTGTTTTGTTATGGTCCTTATAGTTATTGGAAAAAATGAGCAAACCGTTACTGCTTGGAAAGTGATGTTATCTTTACTTCTGAGAGGTTCGATAAATTTTTTATATGATGGATTTGATGTCTCAGGTTTTCCATTTCAAAGCGTTCTGCTCGAAAATATTATTTGCTGTGCAACAGAGGTATGCATATTTTTTCCAAAAGATTTAGGTAATATGCATAGATAACATTCAGTTTTGAAAATAATTAAGATCATATTTTTAAAATTTTACTATTTAAGTTCTGAATTCGTTCATGAATTGCATTTAATTATAAATTTGATTTGATAACACTGAATTGAGCAAGCACCATTTTCAGATGGCCAATAGCTTAAATGCCTGTATACATTCCTATAGTGTGAATTTTGAGCTGTATGCTGCTAACCGGTATAACTTGTTCGATGGGATCATAAAGTATTACAGGTGAAGTGCAATTTAGTAGTGCTTTCTTGTTTTTAAGGACTATATCTTTGAAATACATTTGATAGAAAGTTAAGTGCATTTCAGTACTTTGTTTAAAGGATTACAAATTTTTGAAAATATGCTGAAAATTGAAGCGTTTGTTTCAGATTGCTGATTACGGTACTTGATATTTTTACTTCGCTTCTTAAATCAAGATATGCTTCCAAGACGATATTTTCAATCATTTCGAATTCTATTTCGTTATGTAGAAAGAAACAGTTCCTTGCATTAGTGCGAGAATTAGTTATTTTCATTGAATATCTCCCTTCTTCGTTTGCTGTCGACATTATCAGCCATTTATCCGATTGTATTGTACAGTATTCAAAGCGAACTGCTTTGCTGAAGAAATCGTTGCTGAAGTCATGTGACTTTAAGGTTCTGTTCGTTTTTTTGGAAGACGAAAACAAAAGATATTAACTATGAAGCAGAAAAAATTACGTAGTATGCGGGACTGTTTTCAGATTATAATACTTATAACATTACTATATAAAACCGCAGGACATGAACAGAAAATTTTTTTCTAATTTCTTTAATTTTATTAATAAAAATTAATTAAATTTTATAGGGAAAAAGCAAACAATTTCCTTATTTTCAAGAGGTGCGATGCGCATATGTATTCGTGCACGACATTATTACGGAAATTATAAAAAATTGTTCCGAAGAGTTTGGTTTTTTTATTTTTCTTCGTAAAAAATTTACAGATAATTTAAAAATAAGTGTTTTTTTCCTATTAATAACGTTTGATAAAATATCATTAAGAATTTGAGTTTTATATAATTCTTTTATAATTATAACTTTAAACATCGTTAGAATTATCTTCTTTTCTAATTAGTAAATCAGGTATTTCCAAATGCATTCGACAAATTTAGACTATTTCAGAGTTGTACTCTCAGGAATTCTCAATTGCGCTCTCTCTCTATCCGATGAATATTATTCCATCCTAGACATTACATCACTTCTTACAACATTCCTTTCAGCTCATTTATTGGATAATTTTATTGACCGATGTGCAGAAATTATTGCAAAGCAGCAGCATAATTTTGACAAACAGTAAATTTTTTAACGAATAAAGGAGACCAAAATCTAGTATTGACTAAATCGAGAAAAAAAACAAGGTTCTCTTGCTTTTTAAATAAAAAAATGAATTTTCAACTGTTCTTTTAAAAAAATATTGCAGAACTATTATGGCAGTATCGAGTGCATTCTTGATGTCATTACAGAATCGGATTGGTAATTTTAAAGGAGCGAAGTTGATTCACCTTTTGCAAACGCTATCGTTAATTTGTCCATGTAATTTTTCAGTATTGCAAACATTATTTAAATTCAGCAGAAAATTTGAGCCATTCAAATCTAAAAATAATTTTTATGACTTAGAGATATAGTCGGTTAAAATAAATTGAATTCACTGAAGCCTTAAAAGGTAAGCGAAAAAACATGATGCGAAATCTGTTTTACTTTTTAATAGATTACGGTTTCTTTCAAGGATACCAATAATTTTCTAGTACCGACATCACCGATTTAAACACTCAGAAGTGAAACCACCTCTAAAAAGAAATAAAATAAATACGAATCAGTAAGCTGAAAGTGCACATAATTATATAACCATCTTGATAGAGAAAATATTTGATTCGAATCCATTTCTCATCTGTATTGAATTATGAAGCGGAAATTTTTTTTCGGAATCTTTGATATATTGAAATAGTTATGAATTTCTTCAGTTTTGCTGGTGCAAGATATGGAAATTATTTGTGTGGCAATTTTGAATCGTTTGAAAATTGAGTTAGCACTTTCTGAACAGTGGAATATTGGTACTAGCCTGGACGGTATTTCAGTGCAGTGTGATGCGATGGCTGATTTTCTTGCTGAACACTTAGTCGGACAAAAAGCTATTGAATTTGCTATTAGGTTTATTTACTTTTAAGATTGTTACTATTTTAGCATTTTTTAGTATTCAAATGGAACTAGAGCATAACAATTCTATTGGCATACCCAGTAAAAAAAATTGGAAAAAATATTTGAAAATAAAAAAGGACAATGTGCATTTATTGTTAGTGAACATTATATTAAAAACTTTTAAAGTATTCATTTGTCTATTTATGGTTAAGTATTAGATCATATCTTGATTATAAATCTTAAAAAAAATTTATTGAATTTTAGTGATGTGGTTTTACCGTTTATGACTCTTCTCGAAACATCTACTGCATCGTTCAGCCTTGTATATATTATCTGTAAACGTTGTATTACTGCCGGAAGCGAACTGATCTGTTCCAAAAGTGTAAGTTTTTCAGTTTACAACGTTCTTCCTAAGATTTATTTATAAATATTTGCTTTACAAAAGGGATCATTTGTCACGATGAAAAGTGTTTTCATTGGAGACTCTATTAGTTCTTCAAAATTTTTTTAGATAATTAGATGTTTAAAACTTGCGGATATAAAAGTATTTTACCAGTCTTTTTATAGGTGGAAGATTTAGCGAAATCAATAATCGATCGATTTGCTCAGGAATTTACTTGTGCCAGTGTGGATATCTGGACTTTAATTGGTGTTACTGATTTTGCTATTCCGTTACTTCATGTTGCTGATCTTCTGCTGCTGCTGTTATCTTATTGCACTAGAAAAGGTTTAATTATTACTGTCATTTGGTAAGGAAATAATCCGAATGTTTTTAAAAACAAATAATAGATTATATATTTGATAAAACTCTGTGCTTTATGATCAGATAATGAAGTTTTTAATTTAGCCTAACAATTATTTTGCATTTTGTCATTAGATTAGAAGCTAGAGAATGAAATGGAACCATGTTATATATTGCTGCTTATTTAGCGTATTTACTGAGGTGTTATCTTAATTTGCAATCACTAAAGGTAGTATTCTGACTTCAATTTTTTAGCTTTGTCGTCTGAATTTTTGAAATATGCTGAACAGTATGGCTTAACATTTCTTAATATTGCCATGGACTGGATGCTAGCACCCAGTGAGGATCATTCACACGCGCTTCGCATAAGTCAACTTTTTAGTGTATCATTGCGGATTGTCCTTGCAACAGATGCAGCTAAGGTGAATGCTTTTGCAAAAGTCTTATAATTTTATAATTTTCAAGTGCAGTTTTGGAAATTTAGAGAATTATATATCCAAACAATAAATGGAAAAAAGTCATTGATCAAGTCTAATTTTGTATGAAGTTCGATTACACTACGAATTAATATCAAAGTTTTTTATTTTGAACAAAGATTCAGGAAAATGTGCTGGAATGGGTACAGTTCAAATTGCTGAATAATGAGTTGTTCATTTCAAACATATGTTTATTAGAGTGCTTTGTACGGACACTGCTTCTTACGACCTATTCATCTATTCAGAATGAACGCTTTCGAGAATCATCGTTTGTTGATGAAGTAGTTAAAAGTTGGTTTCGAATTCATTTAAGTTTTATTTTTATTCTATAATGAAGCGATTTTTTTTATATGTATTTTACACCTTTTCTTTTTCTTTTCTTTTTTTGCTTCTTCTTTTCATTCTGATCTGTATTTCATATGATTTCTTTTTACGATTTATTTTTTTTTTTCTAGTGACTCTGGCTTATTCCATTTTCAGTTTTTGGGATAAGTACCTACTGAATAAAGTGAATATAAAACATGCACTTAACGCGACGAATATATTTTCACTATTTTGGTACTTTATAGTTTCTTTAAATGATGGTATCTTAAAACTATATTGATTTATTTCTGAAAACAGCTTCCGACATTTGGTTTTTTCTTATGTTCCAGTTTTTAGGTGCTGATAAATTTTGTTCACAATTATTTATTGTTTCAATAGTATTGCTTCAAAAACATCTACAAGTTAAGCATAGTATTTTATCCAATAATGAGTATTATATTCGCAAAATATGTCGTATACTTCAATATGCAATGTTAAATATTCAATTTGGCAAAAGCGAAAAATGCATTCTTCGTAGCAAGGTAAGTAATATTTCAGCTAGCTTTTTTGAAATTAACCCAGTATTCTAAATTGCTGTTATTTATCCGGGAATGTTATGCAGAAAATTTTCAAATATTCTTTAAAAATTTTTTTATTAGCCTAGCGGAATTATTCATATAAAATATTTACAGTTAAATCGTCTCATTTTGGATTTGTTGCAAAGGCTAGCTGAAATATCAGTGTCTTCGAATTGCTTTCGGATTTTCCTCATGTTTTATTTTGATTTGGCTTCCACAAATCTTACACCATCAAATATACGAACTGTGTTTGCAATTGTAAAGAGTGCTCGTTATTTGCAGGTACACGCAACGTTTTAATGCATTTTAGATTGATGAAAGTAACTTTTAAAATCTGGGTGACAGTTAATTGCATTCACACAGCTTTTTTATTTTGTTTGAATAAAACGATAATTATCATTTGATATTGCGAATTACCGATAGAAAGATAGAAAACATATGGCTGAACAAATAACGAGCGTAGAAATCCGGTTTTCCAAAAATGTATTTACAAAACTCTGCGGGCATTGTGTTTATTATAACCTGTTTTCAAATTTTTTGGAAGTAAAATTTTCTAATTTCAAGGTAACCTTAATGGAAGCTTTGTTAGAATTATTGTTGAATAAAAAAGTTGAACCAAAGGACATCTATGTTTTTCCACAAAAAATCCATGCTCATATCAGATTTGACTGCAGTAGAATGGCGCGAAATAATTTTCCATTTGATGGAAATGATTGGGTAAGATGCATTTGTTATATTCAATTCGTACTTTCTTGTCAAGAATTAACTAATCTGTAGTAATACGCAGTTGCAATATTACCAATTAAAATTTGTGAAATAACTGAAAACAAATTTTAGACAGGAAAATCAGCACCACAGAATGCTTCATTTTGTGAAGACCGTATTGAGGAGATGCACAATGCCCAATTACTTTCTGGATCTGTAAAAAATTTACCAATCAGTAAATATGAAGGAAGTTCGTTCGATCGATGTTGTGCTGCAAAACTTGTCCTTGACGAGTCATTATATTTAACTGATGGACTAACTGTTTCGTTTTGGTTGCTGCCACAAGAATGCCATGAAAGGGTAGGATGCACTTATGATTTTAGTAATGAATTTTGCGAGAAAAACTTTATGACATTAATTTGAATTTCCAGGCGCCTCAACATCATAATTTCTTATAGCTCAAACCTGACTAATTTATCCGGAAATGGATGAATTAATGAAGTCGGAATTCTTTTCAGGTAATTGTTGATGCTTCCGAGGAGATTTATCCAATTTGTTCAATAGGTGTTAATAATCTGAGCTTTCTGCTTCAAATATCATCCGATGGCCGCTCTTTATATATGAGGTTCCAGCTATAAATTTTCTTCTGACATATATGTATCATCTTCTGTGCAGGATATTATTTTCTAGACAATTTTTAGACCTTCGAATTTCAAATAGTAAACTTACCTGTGGAACTGCTGTGCATAAAGCAGTGCCACATATATAAAAACTAATAGGAGAATATCTATAAAACTAAATCCGCATATCGCCAGCACTTTCTATAAGCAATAAAGTGACCAATTGTTTAAAAACTTCATTCCTGTGTTATGTACTTTCTGAGAATTACCACTAATAATACACTTATAATCCTTAGTATTATTCTTAATGGTGAAATAAGACGCAGCAGACGTCCTCGATCAATGTTAATAAATGATGCTTGGAACCACATTGTAGTATCAATGGTTGTCGTTGATTCGATGTATTCAGTGCATGTTAGTATTCCAGACATTTTTTCTTATTGGATTTAATGGGATTTCATAAAATTGTTGCATAAAATTTTTAGTTTTTTTCTTTTTGAAAAAAGAAAACGTGGTTCTTTTTATCTTAAAGCAAACTTGATTCAGAGATTGATAAATAAGAACTTGTTGTCTGAACTTTGCTTATTTGTTTAATCGCACTACTCAGCTTTTCGCACCATAATTTTGCAAATTATAGGTTTGGATTAATTCGCAACGTTTCATCATGCATATGAAACATGAATATACAAAATCTTTAGAAAAGTTATCATTTGTATTCGGTTTCGGCGCATTGAGAAATAATTCAATTTTTTCGAAGACAGTTTATGAACTGTCATCAATTATTTCACTTCGAGGTAACGAATAATGTCATTGACTTTTCGGTTTTCGTATTTTATTTATTCAATTTCCAGATTAATTAAATAATGTAGATAAATTCCAACCATTCTGTTTTTATGAGATTTTAAATCCGACAATTCTCATTTGGGAGTTTTGAAAGAATTTTTTTTTGGCCTTTGGTTTTATTTAGTCATATAGATCCCGAGGCATTGTATTTGAAGACTGTTAGTTCTATATAATGAAAGGTTTTTTATTTACTCATGAATTTACTATGTAGCTTATTGTTTGATCTTTCAGGGTCTTTGAAAGCTCCTCAAGTGTTTATCTTGCGCGCTCTTGGCTGTGATTGTATTTCTTTAGCAGCATGTAATATCAGTTCTCTGATACTAAGACTGATGTCATTGTTATCTTCTGAAAGTGTTTGTTTCCAACAAAACGAAATTCTTGAGCTTTTTGCTGATGTTAAAACTGCATATGCTCGCCTTCAGCAGGATTTTCTTTTTATTATAAGGTGTCTTCTCAGGTTTTTCTTCAGTTTTTTTTTTTTGATCAATTTAATTCAGTTATTTTTTATTACTTTACAATAGAACATATGTTTTATTTTTCTACGTTCTACAAATAAACGTCATTTTAAAGCTTTCATGTTGTGCATGGTGAAAGCATGATTCTTAATATGGTCACTTTATTTTCATTTTTTTTGTTGAAGTTAATTCCTGTGAGCGAATGAACAAATTTATGAATAATGATTATTTAGAGACTGGACGGCATATTTACAACGAAAATCCTATCCTCCAAACAGTCAGAAAAAAGTGCAGCTCGGTCACTTACTTCCCCCTGAAAGACATCTGTTAAAGTGGAATTGTCCAGTGGCGAAGCGGTTGGAGAAAACGTCTATCGATGATTGCTGGCTACCGCTTGGTTCACAAAATCTTTTCCTTTTTATGTTTGCAGAGGTAAATTTCCTATCACTACCGTTGCCTGTTGAATCTTAAGGAATGATCTTAAAACACTTAACTTATATTTGCGTATATGTTTGAAAGTACTAAAATTTTCTTTTCGGATTAGCCACATTAATCTCCTAAAATTAGCGTTGGTTAACGTAAATCAAATATAAATGTGCATAAAAAACAGAATTCTTTCCAGCACTTTGCTGGAAAAATTCTATTGCATATTTTTTGGATTAGTTTACCTTTTTTAAAATTTGCCAAAAATTACAGGCTATCGACCTAAAACACAGCGCATATGAACAAGCAGTTGCCTTTCGCCTATTATTCCAATTCCTACGACGAGTTAGTCCTTTCGCAGGCGAATATACCCTTTCAAACGTGTATAACTGCATAATACGATGTCTATCATCGTCACTTACTCATCTCGACACTCAAATGCTTAAGGTATGCTATTCAGATGCTAACAAACTTCGATTGGAATTATTGATATTCATTTATTTCAAATAAGGCATAAAATAATTATTTGCATGTGAAAGTTCTTTGCATAAACCTGCGCAAGATATTCCAGGAGCTTCGAAATGTGTGTATTTCACTACCATCAAGCATAAAGTGTTCGAATGCAAGATCGAAAGAATGGTTCATTGTTGATCCAGAGCTTGTGGTACTTTTGGTTTGCTCCCCTTTGATATGGTTTGTTTTAGTTCTAGAATTTTCGTCATTCATTTATCATTTTTTGCCATTTTATTTTTTATAATTTTTCATCATATCCTTATATCATGGTATGATGTTTAGCTATCAGGTTGTTTGAATATAATATATCGATAATTCTAGCTGAAATTTAAAACTTGCAGTGACAGTTGGAACAATTGTACACTTTAATTATAAAACTGTGAATAATTCCAATGCGTTATTTATTTTCAGGAAAGGCCGGGAAAGGATGCTGCAGTGGCGCATTATATTAGAAGATATTGCGCATTGCATTTCAGAAGAAACAGCAGAATATTTTGTATTCAGCAAGGAGCAGTTGAAGCGAGTCAATTTTATTAAAAAAATTTTTCAGGTAAACAAATTTGGATTTAGAGATGTGCTGAAATAGATAAGAAAAGTAATGTGGTTCATTATAACATCTTTAATAAGACATGATTTCTCAGCTTTCTTTTAATAAGCAGAAATCTTCCTCATACTACGGTATTCTAGAATTGTCTGATTAGTAAAGTCAGGCAAGATTGTCGCTCCTAAACTTAATTTACAGACCATTTTGGAAATGCTTCAAGATGATGAAAATTACCGAATTGAGTTGCAAGATGTTGCACCATTAATTGATACGCTGTTAACGATTATTCGTAAATTGCTAAGTTCAATAGCAGTATCCGAAGGGATAATCCATCTGTGGGATTTCATATTTCTTTCTCATACAGCTGCTGACACATATATCACCTATGATTGTACCGACCATTTTCATTGGTTACAGCAAGGTGCACTATTTACAATTTATTTTGTGTCTAATATAATTATTTACAGTCAATGACGACTCATAAATTCATATTGTTTTCAACTTTTGACAGTTTACTTTGGTCTTAATTAATTTACTGCAGGTCATCAAATTCCTGTTAGTTTTAATCAAATATGATTGCAGAATTGTTGCAAGAGGAAAGTAAATTCGATTTACTAGAGGATACCGATTTAGTGCGTCGTTTGAAAGATTATGTCAACATTCTTGGAAAAAGTTCGTTCAACTTTCCTTTTATTGTTGATTGCTCTCACATGTATCATTAGAGTAGACTTGATAAAGATGTGAATTTTCATGAGGTCTTTTAAAAAAGTTATTCATTTAACTAAAATTATTTTGCACTACAAGCTTATATAAATCAAAATTTTTTAAAGTTCCAGAAAATGAAAAGGTATTTTTTTCCCGTCACACTTTTTTTGTATGTTTTTTTAAATGGTAGCAGTCATTGGAAGATCAATAGGTGAGGCAATAATAGTATTCAAAATCGTCCAGCCGGTTTTTCTTATTATTGTTTTGGAACAAGATTGCAGGTCGCATTGTCGAAAATTGGACTAAAGAACGTTCGATAATAAAATTGCGGCAGATGTATGAAGCAGCTTGTTTAGTCGATGATCCTAGCGCTGAACACTCTGCTGATTCCGAACGACTCAGCGCTGCTTATAAGAAAGATGCATTGGATTTAGTTAGTGTTTCATTCCCTGGATATATCTTTCTTGTTTCATGTACTGCCGAACGGTTATGTTTTTGAAATTATCTATGTTACTCTCATTAAGATGCTTCTGCTGCAATAATAGCAATGTTTGTTTCGTTTGATTGACTCTTAATCGTGGACAATTATTTCTAATTTTTTGTAAGATTATAAATTACAGACGAGTTTATTTGAAGCTGAAACAAATTGCACTCTGATTCCTAAATTATTGAATTAATTCAATTTAATTTAGGTTTGCGATTTGCAAAGAGCAAAAACCGAATCAGCTAAAAGCAATGACGAAGAATTACCTAATGCGAAAGAGGAAACCTTAGTGAATTGGTTTTGTGATTTTCGTTGTAGTGAGTTTCTTCCCTCAATTTCTCATGTCTCATTTTCTGAAAGATTAACAAGTTATCATTTTTTGAAAATACTATCATTTTCAAGTAAGAAACAATAGTTGAGTTTAGAACTTTTCTCAAAAGCTGACATATGACAGTTTTCGACTCAAGTTACACGGTTAGCAAGGCACGCATTAGTGGAAAGCCTTTTTCCTGATCATTATTTTTTCCTCATTTTACATGACACACCCAAAAATCTCTATTTTTCATTTCTTGTCTTCCAATAATTTTTTTTTACTGCCTGTTTTATCTTATTAGTTGAATTCATTGGTGTTCTCCGTATTTTGTTAACATTTATGATTTTAAAAGTGTGAAATGATCTGAAAATTTTAAACACTGTCCTTTTTATGTTTTAATGTTTTTTTCCATTTTTCGTTGAAAGTTAAATTTGTTCTAGGATGTTTGGAACAGTTAGCACTAATTGTTCAAAATACTCCCGATGTATCATTTAATGAAGTTGTAAACATGAAGATGTCATGGCAAGCTGTAATAACTCTGTTGACAAATCAATCTGATGAGCGCTTTCGAGATCATGTGTTCAGTTTACTGAAACAAATTTTGGTAATCCGTCTTTTTTACATTATTCAGTTTTAATAATAGTATTCAACTCTACTGATTTTGCAAAAAATTTTTTGTGCTGAAACATAATTGCAGAGTTATTCGTCGGAGAGATGTTCTGGGAAGATCCATTAAATGTGAATTCGGCTTTAAAAAGCATTTGATTCTTCAAACCATCAATCTTTTTTAGCTTCGAGATTCAGAAATTCGATCTAATTTCATAAAAAACAATGGGTTTGAGTTACTAGCCAGCCAAATGAAAGATTACCCTGCAACAGATGAAATAGCCTCATCACTGTTCTCCTTGCTTTTTGAAGAAGCAATTCGTTTCAGCGACGAGTAAGTTTGTGAAGTTCATATGATAAGGAAAGGATGACAAATTTGTGTTGATAGGGTTAAGCTAGTTAAGCTCAATTATAAGTCACAAATTTTCTTGTTTCCATTTAGCTTTATTATGAAATGTGTTAATTTCAGGTTGAGTTTAGATCATATATCGTCTTTAAAAGTAAATGAATTCAAATGTCTATCACTAAAGGCAATATTTGTTTTATGGGAAGAAAGCGTTCGCCATTCGAGCTTACATATATATTGGAATATTTCATCTGTGCTGATAACGGTTAATTAATCTGATTGTTTTTGCACTTTATTATGCTTCAGATCAACTTTTAGCAGGGCTATTGTTTTAGAACATGATGTTATGGCGATTTTATTTAATATTATGGTCACAAAATTGTGGGGTAATGGACCATCCATTTTCTGTTTGTAATGAAATGGTTATGATTTGAATGCATGACGAATTTTTTAAGAGAGAATTAAAAGTAACAAAATGCATCTGCTCAGGCAACAGTTGAATATAAAAAAAATCCTGAAAATATTTCACTTTATTGCCGAACTGTTTTTTTAGTTATTCAGTGAAAACGAAGTGCTGATGCAAGCAATGATGGATGTTGGTTTATGCACTACTGTTGTTTCCATTCTAAGAAGAATTGCTTCGCTTCCTCCTGTGTATGCCCTATAGTTTTAAGCTTCATAAGTCACTTTTTTGAAAAGTTAGAGATGATTTTTTAATGTTCTTTAGTAAACATAATTTATACTATAATTTATGATAAAATTTCTCTAGTCCAATCGATTTAATTCATGTAAGTGCGACAGCTCCCTTCATGGAATGTTGGTTTGGTATCATATGGAAAATTATACGCTTGTGTTTGCCTTATCGGTAGGATATTTAAAGTTTATTAAAATATAAGAATTTACATAATTTCATATAGTAAATTGTAAGATTTTTCTTTCTGATTTTGATTGCAGCGTTGATTAGAAAATCTTTCTAGCAATTCCCATCTGTATAGCATGTGTCAGAAGATGCAGTGGCTACTGGAAATGGTAGTTCTGAACACAGACACGCATTCCGAGAAAATCACTCGTCAAGGTCTTACATGTGTTTATGGATTATGGTTAACAGTGTTACAGGAACTTTACCTAAATAATGGTAAAATTTTGTTACCAGTTATAAATATTGTTCGAACTATACTTCTTTCGAAGTATCCTGAAGTTTCATTTGTAATAAGAATTATGAGTGGATTTGTCGAAGGCAGCATTGAAAAGCTAACGTATTTATTTATGTTTCAATTTATTCACAGAATAGTAACTTAATACTGTATAGTTAAATTCTTCTCAATCCGAAGCGAAAGCAATTTACAGCAAGTTCTCACTTAGTAAACTTCTGTAGTGGTAAGAGAAAAAATGTTGCTGCAGTAAAGTGCTTTTTATTGACAGGAATTTATAAGAAAATCTTGAAAATTTTGGTATCTATTTTTTTCTCCTTGACTTTTCAGATAAATCAGATTGGGATTCAATGAATATCCTGTTAGCTGCTATTGAAGAAAGTGATGGTGATATGGCAGATAGTGAGACATGGAGTGATACTTCGTTTGTCAGTAATTTTCTCTCTGAAACTCTTTCCGCAATACTTGGAAGGGTTGCCGATTTTCGAGATTGTATGTTTCCCAATCTAAGATTGATAATAATCATAAAAAATCCATTTTTCCAAAAAGTGGCTTAGTATTCTCTAAAACCAGAAATTTTATAAACTACGAGTGCATCTATTTTTTCTTGTTGCAAGTCTTTCAAGCGACTCACCAAACATCTAAATCAGATAATAACCATTGATTTCGTACACTGTGACGCTACTTTTAAACACCAAGAACTTCTTTCTTGCCATCAACATAGGCAGGACAATGGACAAAGGATTTCAGGAAATAAGATATGCAGATCGGTAGGTCAAAGAACTCATTTAATAATTCTAGTTCAGAAAAAAATTTATCGCTTTAAGACATTTCAGGCAGGAAATATTTATACAAAAATAGCTATAGCAAGCGCCTGCCCTCAACAGATGAATGCGCGGAGCGCCTGATATACTGTATCACCCAAATTTTACAGTTTTTTGTCAGCATGCCAATGAAATCACTTGAAACTGTTACAAATCAAGAAGAGAAATTATTTGAAATATTCCTGTCATTTCTGTCTCTAGTTTGTAAGCGAGTAAGGCTTTCACTGTTTTATTCAAATTTTTTTAAAAAATTCAAAAATTTGGATTATGCTTTGTTTGCTTACCCGTGATCTCATATCGTATGAGCCTAATTCGCTTTGCATTGAATTGTAAATTACATATATACTTTTTTTACTCTAATGTCTGTTAACCATAGAATAATTTTTTTAGGATGAAACACGAGCAATAACTACTGAGTATCATAACAGAAAACAGCGTTTGATTAACATCTGTCGCGAGCGCACTATACATTTATTTGGTCCACTTATTGCTTTTGTACTTTTTCCGGCATCAGCAAAAGCTCAAAAATTAAATTCGATCACATCAGATGCAGGAAGAAATGTTGGCTTTTTAATTATAAGATTCAAAGAACAGATTTCGAGTATCTTTCAAAAGTAATAAGTTTCTTTGAAATGAATTAAGAAGGCAAGAGAATTCCTTTGCTTTCTTTTTTCTTTTTAAAAAATTTTGTATTTGCTGAGGAATTATTATACATTTACTCTCAAAAGTATGAGATTTGTATGTCAATGAATTTTCCAGGAAAACAAGTGGGAGATGAAAAAACGTTTAATGATTGTGAAGACATTAATATCGAACAGAAATCACCTAAAATTTCTTCGTGATGCTGATTTAGTTAGTTTGAAAATTCCTTTGTCTGTTGTCTAACAACATCTCCACTTGGTTGTCATTATGAAGCTAACTAAAAAAAAGTTTTTTTGGATTTCATTTCATGATAAGTAAGTTTTCAACATTTTTTGTTTGAATAAGAAGTCAGCCTGGTTTTTTTCCACAATGATTTATTTAGGAATACCAGTGCGCCTTAAATTTGTCATTGCATGAATTGGCATTATTGGATACTATCAAGGATCCGGACATTCAAAAAGATATTGAAAATTTAATTAAATTTTTGAGAGAATTACAAATTGAATCTCCTTTGACGACTTTAGATGACGGTATTAAAATTTTTTCTATTGAGATCGCGTAGGGACATTCGTTTCGCAGTTGTACTGCTTCTCTAACAATGTCCATCATTTAATGAAATCTATTGTAATTTGAAGCCAAACATCTCACTTAACGTGTCAATAGTTGCTGAAGAAAAGTGCTATTTCTGCATTTCTAGTGTTGGAACGAATTAAGAAAATGGACTACTCTAAATTAGATCTAGAGGTTTTTATGTATGCAGTAGGTAATCAATCGGCGCTATTAATCTAATGTAACTTGAAGCGGACAAGCTATGATTATTTAGCTTCTGTTTCCATATACTCGTACAGTTTAGAAAACTTATTATTTGAAAATAAAAATAATAACTTTTCTGGAGTTACTATTTTGAAAATGAAATGAAAATAACAATTTCATATTATAGTTTATAAATTCCGTTTTTAGATGGGTTTATATCTATGATTATGAATGAATCATTGGCTGTTTATGGCTATCTGGAATATCGTAACAAATTTTTAGCGAAATTGCAACAGCAAGCAACCTGTTATATTGTTGAGGAAAAACAACGAACAAGAATTCGAAGCGAGGTTGTAAAAAATTTTTTAGTTATTTTAGAATTATTAAATTATTTAACTTTTAAACAATTTTGTCTGATCATTAATTTCCGACAAATTTTATGAAAAAAAAAGATTTTCCTCAACGAACGCCACATTAAATGGAACACGAAATCGCATTAGATCAAATATAAAATAATATTGTTACAGTCTCACTTTTTATCTATTTCATTTATTTTTATCCAGCTAAATATATTTTAACGTATGTGTTCTAAACGAACTAGAACATTATTAATATATTATAGGTAGCGATGCAAATGACATGTCGAGTTGTAGAAGATCAAAATTTATTACGAAAAGATTTCATGGAAACCTGTCGAGAATCAGAACTAAGAAATATGGCTGCTGATCTATTTTTAGACGGTTTATTGGTAATTTTATTTAATATATATTTTGATATTTTTTGTTGGTGATTGATTGGGTATTCTTAATTTGGTAATTTGTACAGCTCATTTATTCACTCGCTAAACAAATGCGACTTATTGCATATGTCTTTAAAGATATAGTAGACTCGTATCTATCACATATGATTTTTCTAACACTTCTATTTTAAGTTAGCAAAGTAGCGCGTCGGATATGATTAAAAACCTAAGAACCTTATCTATGGAATTTTAGATTTCTTAATTATTCGATCATACCATCCAATAATTATGAAATTTAAGTTATTGTAATTAACTTCTGCTGAGAGTTTTAAAAAATATCAGATATTACAGACGGAGCTTTGTCATCCAGAAGGTCTTTGTCATGATTCGGAATCGTGGCCGTCAAGTTGGGCACTTGATCCTACAGAAGGACCAAACAGAGAACGTCGTAGATTGATATCTTCACATTTGTCGTTTGACATCAAATTTTTACGTCCACAATCGCAAAATAAAATCAAAAAACGAGAAAAATCTCCTCCTCTATTTCATTTATTGGTTGGTTTAAAAGAAAAATAATTTCGACATGAAATGATTAAAAGTTGTTCAGAAACCGATGCAAATTTTTTAACTTCGTTCCAAGATGTGAAAAAAAAAAAGGTTAAAAGATGTGAAAATTGAGCTGATCAAATAAGCGATATATTTTTTTAATTCATTTATGCCGACTTCAGTATTATGTTAATATTAAACTGTCGTAGTGAATGTTGTTCAGTAATAGCTCTTTTTGTTGCTTTAGAATGTTTAAGATCATAATTAAATGTGAAACAAGTTAAAAAGCTCACTTTACACACTTAATTTGCATTTTTTCCTTTTTTTTACAGGGCGATATAAGAAGAAACATGAATGAACTGAGCTTGGAAAATGGTTTAGCACCTGGTGAACGCATTATTTTATCACTACCGGCCGTGGTTGTCAGATCGACAGTTGAAAGTAGTGGTGAAATCCTTGCTGGTGACAAAAAATTTTACTTTCACAGTGATTATACAAGATCTATTCAGGTTTGTTTCTCTCCTTAATTGCTGATGTATTTCATTCATCGGCTGATCTGTTTGATAAACTGACAATTTAGCATAAAAACGTCATAAATCTTTAATCTAGCTTTTATTTGCATTCCTGTGAAAACTAAGTAGCAAGGTAAATTGTTTATTCGATTTCTTAGTGCTACTTTTTTACCACACGTTATTTTAAACTAATTGTGGCGGAATCGCATGAAGCCTTTTTACATTACTTTTACGTTTTTTCTTGTTTGTTTGATATGATCTTTTTTGAATCATTTGAAATCTTGGCATTTTTGTTTATTGGATGATGTCACTTCTAGAAGAGGTTAAGTCGTACCAACACACTGTTTATTCGATGGCGCTACGATGATCTAATCGAAATTTACAAACGTCATCATCTTTTGAAAGATACTGCTTTGGAAATTTTTTTATCAGACGGCCAAACTTATCTGATTGTTTTCGAAGAACAAGCGGTCAGTAATCAGCCGTTACTCAGGACATATTCCGCTCATTTGCTTAATGTCTTATTTTTCTTCTACTTTAAATATTTTGCTTTGTTAAGAAAAATGAATATTCACTTTTTGCACCATTGTATTTTTTTTCTTTATGATTCTGCTTGGTCCATCTAATTTCTTTGATCACAAGTGATTTCTTCAGAATTTTGCAAGGTATATTAGGCGTGGAAAAATCATTACCCAAAAAATTGTGTTTCAGAAACGCGATCAGTTTGGTTGGCAAATACTTTCATCCAATTTTTGCAAATTATCCGACTTTTCGAACGTATCTGTACAGTCAGCTGCACAATTGTGGCGAGAAGGCACGATCACAAATTTTGAGTCAGTTTTTATTACAGAATTTAATTTGTTTCACTATATTTATCTGTAAACTCCTATTGTTTAATTCTCCTTTATCAGAAAGAGAAATGCAGAGCGAATGTTTATTCAGAGTAGTTAGAACTTGATTTATAAAGATTTAATTTGATTTGCGATGACTTTACCAGTTTTGAAAACATTATTGTTGTCTTTAGCAGCACACTTTATTTTTTCACATTAGTAATTAAAGTTAACTTCTGAATTTACTAAATGATCAAGTTGGAGTTTAGTAAATGAATTTTTGAATTCGCTCATCATTTTATCTTTCAATTACTCTATAGCGGCATTTATTGCAGATACTTGATGCAATTAAATAAATTGGCTGGTCGTTCGTATAATGATCTCATGCAGTATCCAGTGTTTCCATTTGTTTTGTCTGATTATAAATCCAGTACATTGGATCTCACTAATCCAACGTCATTTAGGTTCGTTTAAATTTTCTTAAAGATGTTTTGATCACCTAAAAATCTATTACTTTGAACAAAAAATGAATATAAATCACGTCAAGATAATGCTTGACATTACGATTGTAGTAGTAAGTAGTGATAGTACTACGATTTTCTTGTATCAAATTTTCAAAAGTAGTTTGGAAACCAATCTTCTAGAACCGTTATTTGTGATTGATATTCAATCTGATGACTTCGAAATGATTAATGTTTTTGGTATTCAATGGACAAATTAATAGGCACTGTTTGTCATTGTTTGGTAGGGAGTAAGCTTGTAAAGCAAAGTTTTATTTAATATCCCACCATGTTTTAATCACTTTCCAGTGTATGGTGTATGAATCTTTTTGTGCACAAAAACATTAGGGTTTTTATCCAGAACGACATTATATAAGTTTTGTCATATAACATATTTATATAATGTAGTTTTGAAGAAATTAGAAAAAATTCAAATTGCATTATGTGTGCTTTTTATTAAAAATTGCAGGTTTAGATATGATCTATGAGCGATTACTTTTCTTACACACGGAAGTAATAAATTTGCAGGGATTTAAGCCGTCCAATGGCAATTCAGGATAAGCGATTAGAGGAACACTATCTCCGAAAATACAGTTACCTGGCTCGCGAAGAAGTTCAAGCAGTGTCTGGTTGTGGTTCACCATCCATACTTGGACCTTATCATTATGGAAGTCATTACTCAAATATCGGCATTGTTGCACATTATCTTGTTAGATTACCACCATTTACCGACATTGCACTTGAATATCAAGGTTAATCATTTTCGACTTTGAGATTTTTCTTTTAAATTTTTGATTTCTTGAACCAAATTTCTAAAACCAGCAAGCTTATGTTTTTCTTCTACACAGTTTATGTTGTCGCTGAAAAATAAGCTTCAACAAATGGTTCTGTTAACTCTGTAGTTGAGTATTCGACTAAAAGTTTAAAACCAAATGTAGCCTATTAATCTGTCTTTGGAAAACTTCGGTTTTTTGAAAAAGGCAAACTTTGGATTAAAAATTTATTGGAGAATGACTATTAATTACTTCAAATTAATAAGAGATACTTATTATCGTTGTCATTTTACAGACAACAATTTCGACATTGCTGATCGGTTGTTCAATTCAGTTGAAACTATATGGCGTTTGGCAAGCTGTGATTCGACTACTGATTTCAAGGAACTTATCCCTGAATTCTTTTATTTGCCCGATTTCTTGATAAATAAAGAAAAGCTGAACTTGGGAGTACGCCAGAATGGCGATATTGTGGACGATGTTATTCTACCGACTTGGTATCGAATTTGATATAAATTTGCGTATTGATTACGCTGTTAGATTTCAAAAATTTATAAACCGCGGGAAGATTAAGGCGTTCCAATATGCTATTTGAACAAGTAATAAGTGTTGTAACTGGTAAGGTTGTTAAAACTGGAAGGTTGGGGCTAAAATATTTTATGAGTTCGAAATCCTGGATTTCTAAAATATCTCCCTTGCGTTAGATTCCTATTTCTTGAATAAAATACCAGAATGTCACATATATTTCAGTGATTTCTTGCAATTATTTTAGGTGCCAAGGATCAGCACGTTTATTTGTGCTTATTCATCGACAAGCACTTGAATCTTCGATTGTTTCTTCAACGCTGAATTACTGGATTGATCTGATTTTTGGCTATAAGCAAACAGGAAAGGCTGCGATCGATGCAATAAATGTGTTTCATCCCGCGGTATTTTGTTTAGTCGTGTGATTATTTTATTTCCTTTTTGTCATTATTCTTTTTTTCATATTAATAACAAAAAAGATGTATTGGGAGGAGGAGAACGCTATTTTGAAGAATTAGTTAATAATCATTTTTTTAGCTTTCTATTCATCGACTGCAAATTTTGATTAACCATTATTAATGATTGTTTCACAATGATATTAACAGTGAATTTGACCTAATGTTTTCCATATTCACTTTGCACTTTTATTTCTTCATAAAATTTGGAACATGACCGTAAGAATTTTAGACGTACAGAGTAAATACGATGAGTGATATAAACGAGGAACCCGACGAACTATCCAATTCTGCCCTACAAGCTATGATACAAACTTACGGTCAAATGCCATTGCAGCTTTTTCATTCACCTCATCTTCCACTTTTATGTGGGAAAATACATCAAAATATTTCCAACATTTCTTTGGTAGAGTTTGAAAGTTTTTTATTAAATGTCGAAAAATTCGAATAACCGAAAATATTGAAAAAGAAAAAATGTTTTGTGAAGTAAATCAGTAGCATACTATTTTTGTGTGCCCGATTCAATCATATCTTTGGTATTATTCACAAAAAACTTGAATATAATTTACAGAGCCCACTTGACACGGTCAAAGGGATAAGATGGGGTGAATTTATCGGGAGTCCGGATACCGAATATGGAAAGTTAACAGTCGTTCTGAATCAGAAACTACAGTGTAGTAATAATCGCATTAGTCGCCTTGTTGCATTCTCAGAAGGAACTTGTTTTGCATTTCCAAGCAGTACATGTTTTATTTATAAGGTCAAAATGACTTTTTTTTTTATTTTTAAGGTTTGAGATACAGATAATTACAATCCAGTGGAAAATCGAATGACACTTTTCTGTGAGAATAGGATGACGGTGCTTGGTTCAATTAGACGTCAATTTTGCTATTTCAAAGATATATTGTGATGACTGATAAAAACCTTTAGTATGAATCCATAATTTAAGCTTCTAAGGGAAAGTATTGTTTTTATTTTCTTCGTATTTTATTACTGTTTTCTAATAATAAAGAATGTGAACAATTGTCTTCCAGTATGGGGAAGCAGTTCGACCGCGAGACCTCTGTAGTTATGGATTAGTAACATGGCGGCACAATGATGGAATACTTCGATTGTGTCTTCACGAACCGAAGCAGTGGTGGGATTTGGCCAGTTATCATACCTATAATGTAAGTTGATTTCCACTATGTCTGTAGAAATTTTATATTTTATGGCTTGAAATGTTTGGAAGACTTGGAAAAAAGAAGATACGTTCATTTTTTCCGTAAACTTGAATTTAAACTTTATAAAATTAAAGCGAGATGTTTCCAACCAAAAATTTTCTTACATATGCCAAATAAAGAATTTCACTAAAAATATTTTTTTAAATTCTTACATTCTATATATTGCTGGAAATTAATTTGTTAATTTTTGTGCTGCGATTGTTATGAATGTTGCTTTCTACTTAACTTAATGGGACTTAAGTTGTAAAAACTTCCTACTTCAGTTTTTACAACTTAAGTCTCATTAAGTTAAGTAGAAAGCAACATTCATAAAATTACATGGATTAATGCAGATGGATTAATATACCCATTTCTTATTTGAAATAATTAATAGGTGGTAGCAGCTGCTTACTGTGTTTCATTTGATTTACTCTTCGTGGGACTTTCATGTGGTATTATACTCACTTATCGTATATTATTAAACAAATTTGTAAGTTTTTAAATCATTTGGTTTTATTTTCTCTTTTTTTATTTTTCGCGTTATATTTCGACCTTATACTTGCGAACAGTGTTTTACTTGTTTATAGTTTCTGCTTTGTAGGGTGTGGAAGATTTTGTACTTCTCAAAACGTTATTTGCTCATGATGCTGCAGTACGTGCATTAGCAGTTCGCGGTGATTTTGCTGTTGCTGCCAGTGGTTGTGATATGGGTAAAATTTGCATATGGGATCTAAATCGGTTATCATATATTCGAACTCTTATTCCGAATAATGGAAAAGAAGTGCAGCTAATTTATATTAGTCGGACCAGTTGTGACGTGGCTATCGTGGCAAATTCTGGTATAATTTCTTGGTTTGATGTATTTGGAAACAGATTCAACTAATTGTTAAAATTGAAAATTTTAACTTTAAAATTTTGTTAACTTTCATATGGTAGATATGGCTCTTAAAACTGACTTGATCATATATTTTATGGCCATTGATGGTTGGCTGTTCTAATAAAAGATTTCAGTACAAAAAAGTACACGTTTTGGAGTCAAATGGTTTACTGGTTTTTTATGTTTTTAAAACTGCAGGATACGGGAGCACTGTAACGTTGCAAACTATTAACGGATTAAAAATCGGTAGCATCGATACCAATATCGCTGTTACTGCAATTACTATGACATCACTTCCGGAAGGAACCGCCGTAAATTGCATTTTTTTAGGAATGCAAAATGGAGTAATTAAGTAAGAAATTTTGGATTTTCTGTCTGTATTGCATTTCTATGAGTGGGCAATTGCTGAGCGACCCTTTTTCTCAGGACACAACTAATTTGCTTTTCTAATCTTTTGTAAATTATTTAGAAAATCATCACTGTATTTTGAATTTTGGGTAAATTTATGTTTTCACAAGGAGTTCGAATTTGAACCAGTTTCTAAAAATTTTATCATCAGTCACTATTTTTTAATCATACATTATAATTCTCGAATTTTGCGGTTGATATCAATTGATTTGCTAAAATATTTCAATTGGCCAAAAGATTTTAGAATATTTGATACGTGGACGATGAGATTTGTGCGTGATATCATTGATTATCGATTTCTTGAACCGATTGTCAGGTTGTTTGATAATTCTTTGTAAAGCAGATATAATTAGATAGCTAATTTCCATTTGAAAATTGATGATTGTGCGAAGAACTTCCAGCTTCCATCTTTTTTCATAATTGCTACTGTTTATGTCTGAAATGGCAAGATGGCTGCTGTGTTGATAGGTACAACGTACAAATGCATCAGCAAATACTATCATCACTGTCATTTTTTTTTTTTAGTATTAGTTTTTCAAATCGATGTACGAGGTTGTTTGTCAATTTCGTATCTGGCCGAGTGTTGTGCTGGCAAGGAGAAAATCTGCAGACAAAACGACCACCGTTACTGAGGATTATTAACGACATATAAACTCTTTTGGTATCATTGGATATTAATTTTTCCGTCTATATCAGTTTTCAATATTCCATGAATTGATTGTCAGTTGTATGTTTCATTTTTTTTTTTTGAATTGCAGTTACCATTGGAATGGCTACTGTTCAAATTGCCTTTTCTGACCGAAAAGAAGTTAGTAATATTTGGATGGTTTCATCTATCTAATCTTCATATCACCATTTTTCTGATTATCTCAAATAATACTCTATTATTCAGGTCAAGAACATTAAGTTCAGTTATCAACTTCATTTTTCTTATCCTCAAGTTATTACATATTTTCAATGCTTTAAAATAGTCTTGTGACATTTAGATTAATTACTTTACCATTCTTATAATGTTATATTGGAGTAGTGTAGAAGTCGGCTATAAGAATATGACTTTATTTTTAGTTTCTTTCATTTTACGAATACAAAAAAATATTGTGTTAGTCTGCCTATAATTTTCTCAGAGTTAAAATGAAAGACAAGAGGAGGAATAATTTTCAAATAGTACCAAATCAATATTTTAGACCAAAGTCAATTTTTGAAGTTCATTAATTTATGGATATCTGTTTTTCTTTTTTAATGCTCATGAAATGATGTTCTATAATACTTCATTTCTAATCTTTTCGCAGTACCTTACTTGCTAATTCTTTCTTTTTATCGGGTTTATTTTGGGGCTTGCTCAATTTATGATGAATTTATTTATGTATTTTCCTTAATTTTTCCTTTTCTTTTTTTGATTAAATTGTTACGGTATGAACGTTGTTAATGTGTAATTTCTGGATTATTCATTTATTTCTTTGTTTTGTATTATTTGGTTAACAATAGTTTTTTGGATTTTTACTAACTAAAACACAATCTGAAAAATTTTCTGCGTCATTTTGTAGCATTCGAGGTACTACATCCCTCTCAGAAATAATTTTGAATGCTATAGTGAAGTATATCCTGTAAAAAAAGGATATACTTCATTATAGCATTCAAAATTATTGATATACTTCACATTTTTTTTTAAAAAAATAAATACTGAAGTTTGCTCGCAAAATCCATCTTGCTAAACTATTTGAACCTAAAATTTCCATGAATATTACTCATTTCAGTCTGTTTTCCCTAGTGATAAAAGAAGAATTATGTTATTTTTGTTGATATTTGGTTGTTTGAGTTTCATTCACTTCGGTAGTGTTAAAATATGTTGTTGGGACTTTCAAAGTAAGCAGTTAAAGAAACTGATAATTTTTGCCATTATCAATATTTCAAGTGAGCAACCAAAATCGAGATTAATTTCTTCAAGAATTTTGGAATGAAGCTTAGAGGAAATGCATCAGTGTCAGTTTAAAATATACAGACAGTTTTAAAGCACAATCGATTACATTTTTCAAAGATCCTATCCTTCCCTGACATTTAAGGTGAAAGAAAGAATGCTTTTCGATGACATTCACTTAGAATTAATGAAACAGATTTGTTAGCAAGGAAGGAAGAATATTTTTCAATTAAATGCTCCTATTATGATGACTCGGAACAGCATAATCGTGCAATGGGCGCACATTTGTCAATTAATTTCCACATTTGCGTGACACATTCCCAAGGCGGGATTTGAGAATGATTGAATTAGCGAGATACGGAATATATAGATTAGCTGCTTGCTTCACTTTTATTTGCTGCGATTTCTCTTTTTGCGAACACGATAATACTACGGAACTGATGAAAAATAGTTTGAGTTGCTGATATTCGTCACTGACAGAATTCTATCAGTTTTAATTCATATCATTCACTCGTCATCTTTCTAAAATTACTTTGAATCAATCATTTCTGTTACATTGACGATACGATTGAATGATGTCTCAATTTTTGCTCCATTTTATTTTAAACTGTCTTAAAACAGTTTTAAAACTTATTGTTCCCTGAAAAATAGAATATTATAAAATTGAATTTTATAGTTGATCTCTCTGTTAATTTTCAGTTTAGACTTCTAACAATTCCTAATTTTGAGTTGTACATGTTTTATAGCTATTTATTTCAATTGCTAATAATGAATTTGATTTTGTAGAAATTGAGAAAGAATGCTTATTAATTCTTCAAATCATCACTTTTAGTTTAACAAATAAGCAATTTTAATAGGCCAAAACAATATAAAGAAAAGAAAACACACAACACACGCATTCATTTAAAAAATATCTTCTTCATTCATCCATTGTACATTTTGCAAATGATTTTGTCGATCGATGTATTCCCGAAAGTGGCCATAAAAAACATCCGCTCAATTTTCTCGGCGCTTATAGTTCGTAAAAGTGGTAACAGAAGAAGTAGTCGACCAAATCTGCAATTACAACTTCTGAATCATATTGTAATACTATTCGTTGTATGTTATTTATTATAACTGATTTAAATAAGTAATTTTAGTACAGAATTTGACTAATTTGACTCAAATAAATGATTAAACGAATATGTTGGAAAAAGAACTTCAAATGAAAAATTTTGCATATTAAGTTTACAAAAATTGCTAAAAGTGTAAAAAAGGAAGACCTTGCTGGCGATGAATTCATTGTATGCCTGGATAATGTTTGCTGTGCCTGATCTTGCAGATCTTCAACTTGAGATAAATTTTTCAATCCTCTTGTTTCTGAAGCATTTTTGGAATGGTGGATAAATATAAGAAACACTAACATGTTATCACCAAAAAAATAGAACGAAAAAATTCAGCTGATATGAAAATTTAACATTCAAAATTTGAGCATAGATCAATACAAAACAATGACTTTACTCAATGTAAACATATAGAATAAACTTCCGAAACATTACTTTATGAACTTAATTAAGAATGATAGCATCAAATGCTGTTTTATTTGTTTTGTTGAAATATGTAACTGAATTAATGTAACTTTAACAAATATTTCAGGCAGTGAAAATTGGCAAACTTTTAAAGTAAATTGCATGTCAACAAATTTCTTGAGAAAAATTTGTGATATATAAATTGATACTAATTAAAATTTATAAAGTGAGCATTTGTTAAAATTACTACTTTTTTATCGAAATATTAAAAAAAACACTTCCAATGCGAAACGGTTTGGACGATCAAAATTGGCAACTTTAATCAAATCTTTCAAAGAGAATGTTATGCAGTAAAAAGGGAGAGAATAGGGAAAAGGGGAATGCATTTAATTAGCTTTTTGCTTCACTCTTTTCTTTTACTGTAGCCGGAGCCGACACCGTCTCAATTATTTTGCCACTTATTCCTTCTGTTCCTTGCCTTTCTCTCTCCCTTCTTCTCTATACATTCAATGCTTTAAATCGACATTTAATTGTTCAGTGAAATTGAAACCATTTCATCTTATAGCTAAATCAATCCAAAATCAAATTCCAAGTTCCAAATTAATTGCACTTTTAATTTGTTGTTTACTTATGACTATTTATTTGCAGGATAAACACAGTAGTAAAATGAGAAGTGCTTCTTTCAGCACATCCATTTGTTATTGAAAATACAATTTGTTTATCAGTCAGTTAAATAAAAATATCTCTATAGAAGTCAAAACAAAAACCGCCCAAAATTGATGAGCCAAAGTTTTTGAACTTGCAAAAGGTAAATGATAGAATTGATTCTGAGCTGCTTACTGTATGATTTGAAAAGTATCTTGGAAATAGTTCAAGACTGAAAATCAGCCATAAGTAAACATCGTTTGCTGGCATAAAAGCAAATTTGATAAAGACGACGAGAAATGGAGTTCGTTGTTGACTCTTGAATGTGTTCCCAAAAAATGGAAAATGATAGGATAAGAAAGAATTGAATTTGAATAGTTTGCACTTCATCTTTAGATTTTCTAATTACTCTAAGCAAAATTATCTCATAGTTATTTTAAAATTTTAACAAATTTTCAGCCAAAAATTCAGATCAAATTTTTTGTTATGATTTAAAAATCCAAAAAATAGCTACGCTAAAGCAATTTGAAATAGAAATTCATCAAAAAAATTGAAATTATTTTTCGCTCAATTTTTCAAAAAATCGAAATATTTTTATAATATGCTGAAGCAATGAAAATGTTGCTGTGCTTTAGAAATATTATAAAAATTGTTCTGTTTAGGATATTTCTCATTGTGATAAATGGTCATAAAATGATTTTTGATTTTTTGACTTTTCTCGATCTTTGATTTCAAAAGAATTGTAAATGGTCAATTTCGTTTATCAAAAGTCCTGGAATGATTTTTTATTTACTTGGTTCTTCTTGACTTTTGATTTCACAGGAATATAAATAATGTTTATCGAGCACTATCAGTGCTTCTTTACCAATTTTTACCTCAATCATTGATGCAATCAATACTACCAGAATTATCAACTGTGCTTAATCTATCTTATTCGTGATATTCTTAATTGTCTTTTAACGTTCAAGAAAAATAAACTTTCTACCAATCAATAAATACTTCCTCAAAAGTATTCATCTGTGCAAATGACAACCAAAATTATATACTTTCATAATTTAATTCATTTTTAGTGATATTCAAAATTGATTTTTATATAAATTTCTCGTTTTTCGACTTCTCGTTCCTTAACATTATGAAGTTTCTTATATAATTTAATGCGAATTTGATTTTGTGCTCAGTAACATTGAAAACATTTAAGGGAGAAAAATAATTGAGCTTAAAATTTTTCAACGATTGTTGCAAATTAAATTTTATCTGTTTCTTTTTAATATGCTGATTTCATTTTTGACCGTTTATTTATTATAATGTATTAGTGCTATCATGTTTGATTTAAAGTGTAATTAGAATTTAGAATTAGAGTGAAAATTTGAAAAAATATTTGAAAAAGACTTACCTGGCCTAAACAACACTAAAGCTTTTAAGCAAGCGAATTCGCCGTGATCAATGCCATAGGTACGAATCCGAAAGAATAAATCGTTCAAGTAACGAAAACTGGACGGATCAGTTTGCGAAACATTCAACAAAGGGCATTTGTCCATTGAAAGTGACCATTGGAACACACTGAGAAGGAAAAGATCGCACCAA